AAATTTACCAAAATTCTTAACGATAGACATCAGTTGATATTCGGTCTGCAAACAACATGTAGATTTGAAATGCTCTGACATTGTGGATAAATTTATTATGAGCTCTATATAGGTCACTGGGAAAAGACGCTCAATAGATTAAATTGCCACTCAAACGGTGTTGGACGTGCACATAGTACCCCACGAACGGAGACATCGGAACGAGCAAAGTTTGCAGATCATCATTTGAAATAAACGCTTCAGTGTTTTGTATATATCAATTTGAAATGTAACATACCCCGTAAAGTCCATATAAAGGACCTTGAACAACTCGACTGAAGATGTTATTCCACACAATCAATCCTCTCAAACCATCAACATGAAGTTCTCCCAATCCCTCCTCTTCGCCCTCCCATTCCTCCAATCTGCCGCAGCCCAGGGCGGCGGTATGGTCGGCCTCGGATGGTCCGTCGAGAACGTGACCGATGCAGGCTTGAGTGAGATCTTCTTCCCAATGGACATCTCCGGTGCACCCCACGAAGGCGGCTTCTACTTCGCGCAGCAATTCGGCTTCGTCAACCAAGACAACGTCGGCTACACCGGTCTGCAGCCCAGTGTAAACGACCACGGCCTTCCCGTCATCCACGGAGTCTTCTCCAGCTTCAATGAAGGCACCACCTCCGACGATCCCAACTGCTCCGACGGTGCCGACGGCGGTCCCGGTGTGAGCTGTGCTGTTAATATTGTCAGCTCCTACGATCATCAATATCAGCTGCATATCAAGAACACCGAGGGAACCAAGTGGGTTGGTACTCTGGTTGATGTTGTCAAGGGAAATAGCACTCAGATCGGTTCTTACACTCTCCCCGCTGGTTCGAAGGGTATTCAGAGCTCCCAGATGGGCTTTGTTGAGTTGTATAAATGGAACGATGGTAAGAAGGAGCATGTCTGCTCTGATGTGCCCAAGCAGTCGGTTATTTTCGGCGCGCCTATCTCCAAGGGTTACACTGGATCTCTGAGTGAGCCTTATGAGTACGGTGACTGTGTTGGTGAATCTCAGTTTGAGACACACAGCCACTCTGATGGCAGCTATTCTGTCACTGTTGGATGGTAAATGGAGGAAGAGGTGAGGCAGAGATCTTGCATATGTCTGGCCGGTTCACCAGGCATGAATTACATTTGGACAAGGCCCAAAAGACCAGCCCGTCAATGGATTCTTCATGAAGGAGATCCAGAGTTCATTTCTTTCGTTTAATAACCCGCAGAACAACGTCTATAGATCCCGGTGAGCTACATACATGGGATGAAAGACAGATATAATTCAGACAACCTCTTTGCTATGTACATTATCAAGCTATTGAGTTTTGGAAGATAAACAGTAAGATTGTTTTTCGGCTCTAATCCTAGAACCTCTATCATCTATAATCTAAAACCGCCTAGCCTCAACAGCAGGCTTATTCCCAACAGCAACCTCAATCTTCTCAATAACCTCATCCGTCAACTTCTCCACCACGTCCAAAGCCCGAATATTATCAAGCACCTGCTGCGGTTTCGACGCACCCGTAATCATAGACGAGATATTAGGATTCTTCAAAATCCACGCAAGCGCCAACTGCGCCGTCGAAACCCCAAGTTCCTCAGCAACAGGCTTCAACGCCGCAACCTGACCCAGCTGTCGCTGCCAATTCTCATCCCCAACCGTCTTGCGCAACCCCTGTATATATCTATCCTCAGACTCCGCCAACCGTGACCCAGCCGGAGGCGCAGAAACATCATTATACTTGCCCGTCAAGACACCACCCTTCAACGGCGAGAACACCGTCAGACCGAGCCCGTGCGCCTCGTACAGCCAGCGGTACTCCTTCTCTACTCGCTCGCGCGCGAGGAGGTTATACTGCGGCTGTTCGACGACAGGTCCGATGAGACCGAGTCTGTCGGCGATGCGCCAGGCGTCTGCGATCTCGCTCGCGGTCCACTCCGACGTGCCCCAGTAGAAGGCTTTGCCGTTGTCGATGAGGTAGTTGAAGCCCCGGACGACCTCTTCCATGGGTGTGTCACGGTCTGCGCGATGTGCGTACACGATGTCTACGTATGGTAGGTCTAGTCGTTTCAGGGAGAGGTTCATGCCCTCGATGATGTGCTTGCGGGAGAGACCGTTGTTGTTGAGGGGTTTATCGGGGTTGGCGCTGTTGGCTCGGCCCCAGTAGATCTAAAAGATGGGTTAACGGACAAGCAATTGGAAAGTGGATGGGAAATTGCGCTTGTTAGGTACCTTGGTGGAAATGACGAGGTCGTTTTGCTTCCAGCCGAATTTCTTGATTGCCTCTCCGAGAACAATCTCTGATTGTCCGCCGGAGTATACTTCGGCGGTATCGAAGAAGTTGACGCCGGCATCGTAGGCTACTTTCATGCATTCAAGGGCAGTTTCTGTTGTCTGTTAGATTCGATCAATTGCATTGGTGGAGATGGTCATACCATTCCCGACGTGTCCGCCGTATGTGAGCCAGCTACCCAGCGAAATAACTGAGACTTTCAATCCGGTCCTACCGAGGAACCGGTACTGCATTTCAGGAAGAGCGTCAGACATTGTGAGTTTTTGTTAAAAGATGAATTTGAGGAATGATTTGAAGATTGGGGAGACATCGCTTTATAGACACGGGCCGATGCGGGGTTAAAAGACGGTAATTACCCGATTGGGACGCCGAACACTCGCTTGGACCTACTGTGGGCTGGGAAAACTGGGGCAGTGGCTGGTTTAGGCTAATGATATTCGAAACATCTCGAATTCGCGTTTGATTAAGAATTGTGATGCAATATGTGGTGACAATGACCTTACAATTGAACAATTGAATTGTGTTTACTCCACATTACTTATTTCTCTCAATCCCCCACTTTCAGTATATCAACTCGCACCCAGTTGGATTAGCACCAGGCCAGTCAGGATAGACAGGAGTCTGTTCCGCATCGGCACATTGACAAAGGTTGGTTTGCAGAGGTATATCCGAGCAAATGCCCACTGGCTGAGTGGCACAGTACTCATTGACCGAGACCGAGGTCGTCATACCCCGCGGACAAGAGCTGTGCGGCATACAGAAGGTGTCATAGTTCGACGAGCCTGGGAGTAGGGTCATGCTATACCATTGGTATACAGGACAGGAGCAAGAGACAGCTACAAGAAGAGAGGACATTCAAGTTAGCCTCGGTGCTCGACCTTCGGCTCATAAAATATGGCATTGGAACGAAAATATGAAAGAAGCAAGAAACTCACCCCTAATAACAGTTGATTCTCCTCCCGCCAAGGTACCCTCATATATAGTCGACGTCGAATACGGAACAGCCCCATTCGAGCACTCGGTGGTAATCCAGGGTTCGCTAAGCGGGAAACAACTCGATTCTTCCATACAATGATCAGGATGCCAAACTGATGGGAAGAAGCCCTGTGAGCACTCGATCGGAGGCTCTTGGCTGAAGCAGTACGAAACTGGGGTTCCCAATGTACAGTCTGTCGTGTAGATGGCAGTTTGTCCATTGGGGCACCAGAGCTCGGGGCTTTGGGTGATCACTGCCGGAGCTGCGGCTATGGTGATCGAGGTGGTTTGTTGAGGAATAGCCATTGCGGCTGTGAAGAAGAACGCGAAAAAGAGACAGACTAGATGGAGGGGTTTTATCATGATAGTCTCAAAGTCCATTAGACAGGCATAGAAGAAGTAGATATAAAAATTGTAATAGGAGAATACGCAGTTGCTGTAACTGAGCCAGGAAGAACTTTCTCTTCGGAGCCCAGTGCTGGATCTTGTTTTATATTTGCGTGGATCCAGCAGGACAGCCCAATTTGGGCTCTTCTCGAGATTCGGAGCTCACTCGGCTTGGCTGATCAAAGCTACCACGATAAAGTAACAGTGGGCTGATAGACTTGCTGGGGCATCAGAGACAGCGAAGTTCAGCTCATACTACCTCGCCACTGCATGCAACCCATTGATAGATAGCGGTAATTGGACCGCGAACACTATCTCCAAATGCTTCGGCTGTGTGTTTGGCCATACACTTATAAAAATAGCAGCTTACCCCTCGTCAACAAGGCAAGGAATCCTATTCGGGAAGTCCATGACACAGAAAACGTTTTCGTGGTAACAGGGTCAGTGGCTAGCGATGTCACTTTACTGGCTAAGTAAAACAGGGTCTTGAACTGACCGCACTGGAGAGAGAAGTCATTTCCATGTTGCGCAATTTAAGTGTGCTACACAGACAGCTGGCTCGAGGGAGATACGCTGACCGACACAAGACATTCGGGATCGTTGCAACGCTGAGTTGACATGTCTGTGGTTGAAGGGGCTAGATGGTTCTCAGTGGTAATGAGAATTGTAAATTTTCTCGTACATTGTCACCTTCTAGGCCATTCGTGTTGTTCTGTCTTGGAATTGATGGTCTTGCCGATGTTGTCGGGCCTCACTATGTCCCACAGGATTGTCGCACGGAATATGTACAGCATGGCCGTTGCCTGCTGGACGGTGGAGGTTGATCTTTGCTTTGTCAGGAGATGATGAGACATCTGTTGAGAGGTCGAGGTGAAATGAAACATTGGAGAACGGTTTAATATGCGAGTGGAGTTCGACTGAGACCTATGTTTCACAGTACATTGCTGAGGCTGGAGATAACCAAAGTGGCGAACAGGGGATGGAATGCAGGCAACTAGTAAGGCTTGTATGTTTTACATAGACCTGGTTATTGTCCACCAATGCGGTTGAATTGTGTACCAGCCAGGACTATTTAAAAATTTGAACACGAGAACGACAGTATGGTCAATGTACACCCTCCTTGACTGACTGGAGGATGTCCAACAATCAGAATAAAATAAATGTACATGAATCAAAGCTCCCAGGGTACAAGTCCAGCAAGTTCAAGGTCTAACTTAGTGTAGAAGCATGGGGTGTATCCTCTCGGCCAAGGCGACAGAAAAGAGAACGACGCGCTGCGTACTTCGCGCATTGGGTTCCTAACGCCCACAACGGAGGTTCTTAAGCCTAGTTGTGCGCGTGACCGTGGCGGTGGTGAAGATGTCTGCGGGCATGGCCAGCAGCCTCCTTCGGCTCCACAGGTTCCGGGACAGTATCCTTCTTCACGTAGGAAACAGCGGTAGAGGTTTCCATGATGGTGGTGATGGTAGAGGAGACAGTACGTGCGACGCCAGTGCTAGTCGAGTAAGTGTCACCGTTTCCATCACAGAGGACGACAACTTCGCGTTGAACATAGATGATCTCTTCGGTGAGAGGATCGACAATAGTAGATGTGACGGTGGTCGGGGTTGGCGAAGGAGTCGAAGTGGAAGTGAAAGAAGTGGTAGTGGGTTCCGCAGTGCTGGTCGCGTGGAAAACGTTGTCAAGCAGAGTGTTGGGATCAATCGAGATGCCACCAACGGAAATGGTGGGAAGCGAAATGATATTGCCGGTGGATGTAGTGGTAGCTCCGGATTTCATCGAGGCACGCTCAGGACCCCACTCGATAGGCATACCGCCAGGCAACCCGTCGTCGTGCATTTCACAGTTTTCGTTTTTGATGACGGAAGGGACGGGGAACTGACATTGACGCTGTTCATCTTCCGACTGGATATCGAAGATTGCGCAGTCGTCAACGATACCTGTCTCGCTTGTGCAAGTTTCAATGGCCTCCTGTAGCACACCCGAATCCCAGGCCTGCATGAAATCACCGTGGTATCCGTATCCAGTAGGGTCACCGTTGGCAAGTGCGAAATATCCATCGACGTCCTTGAATGCGTAGGTGTCCCAAATAGTCTCGTAGAAGAGTGATACCAGGCGAGTTTCGAAACCCTCGGGGCAAGTACCATCCATAACAAGGGATGGGTATGCGACGTGGGATTTGTGGTCGTCGGAGTCGGAATCCTTACCATTCCAGCAGGATGGGAACATCAACTCGAAGCGGACTCCATCGGTACAGTGCTCATCAAGGTAGGTCTTGTTGGGCAAGAAATGACGGTGGAGGGAGTCCTCGGCAGTTGTCTGGTAGTTCAGGCAGTTGAAACCAAGGGCCTTCTGGCGCAAAGCGGCTTGGGAAGCCTGATCACCGCTCCACTCGGACTTGGGAGGGTCGGGAACTGGCCAGGTGAAATTGCGCTGGAAGGGGTCGCCTGCCAGCATGCGGAAGTTCTCTGGGAAGGCAGTGATGTTCTGCCCATACAGAAGGTAGTAGCTGATCGAGCGCTGTTAGTAGAGCGCCACCACGAGAGCCAAATCAAACTCACGCAAGCATGCCTCCAACCTCCTCAACTACCTGGGCACTGCCGTTGGTGTGCATGAAGTACAAAGCGGGAGCCCAGTAAGCAGACTTGTCCTGGGTCACTGCGCACGAGGTGCAATCACTGTTGAGGAGCGAGGCCGGTTCCGAACTCATGCCAAAGCCTGACCATAGGTCAGCACATCCGTAGGTTGAAGATCTAAGCTTTAGGAAAATGCGCGCTTACTTCCACCTCCATGGACTGCGTGAACGTGGCCTGAGACCTCGCCAGGCTCCACAATGGGGTCGATACGGGCGAGACCAGATCTTCCACGGCAGGGAAGACGCCAGAAAGCAGTCGTATAGCTTGGGAAGAGCGCCAAGCAGGCCATCGCAATGGCTGTCAGTCGAATGTCCTGCATGTTGTTGTGGTTGAGCCGCGTCCACGAGCTCGGTGATTGGATAAAAATAAAGAATGAATGATCTCAGGGAAACAATTGTAAACGACAGACTCGCCAGAAGTACCGAGTCAACCGGTTAGGCGTGGAGAAATGAGTGCGAGAGATGTATATACTAAACAATATGTTAGCATAGATTCAAGGCATTAGGCACTCCATGTCGCAGATTAAAGATTCCAAGCCAATCGTCATCCCCTCTTATATCAATTCCCCTTTCTATAAAGGGTAAAAGAATGATCCCTTGCTTGTGGGCTGAGCGTACCACTTCCCGGGGATCGAGAAAAAGAAAAGAAAAAGGTAACGAGGTATGCGGACTTACCGATCAAGCGCGTTTCTCCTGACGTCAGTAAACAAAGGCGATTTGGACGATTTCCGTTGCGAATCCCTGAAGATACGCCCATTTTATCAGCCTCAACTCTATTTTTCAATAGTACGCTCATAAAAACGCCCCAAAAGTACTCACTTGGATGTTTGGAAACAAGAATATAAAGAATAAAACAGTAAATGAGCGACAAGGGGATGAACGAGTGACAGACCCTGAGATAGGGCAAAAGAGTGCGACGCAGGATAAAGTAAGAGGGGGGCAAAGGAATAGATTAAGGAGCAGCACACGGGGATCAAGTACTTCAAGGCAGAAAAGTTAGAAAAAATGCACACGCAAGTGAACCCTCAATAATGAGGCGTCAATCCCCCCCCCTTAGTGCTTGAAGAGGGGCCTGAGTTTAATGAGCGGGCCAATCCCTTGATATTTGGGATATTAGGGTAGGCTGGGGGGGGCACATTACTATTAGAACATCAGCCACCCCTCTATACCCCTACTATTACCATTGGGTGTTTCTCTGAGAATTAAAATGAGCAATCCTTGGCTAATCCCGAATTTGGTGCCAGAACACGAGGGAAAAAATAGAGTAGATAGAGAATATTCTTTCCAAGTGGACTTCCCGTGTGTTCAAGTCAATATCTGAGACGCCGAAACGAACGGCGCGTTCCTGAACTAATCCACTAGCCCGGTCTTGGTGACCCACGGTGACTATGGGGATTGGCCTGAAGAGAAGATGAAACGACCCGTAAATTATACCCCCTATTTAGTGTTCAGCCGAGATTGCAATTACGCTTAGAGCGAGGTGCAATATAAAATATAGTATGAACTATAGAAACTAGTTTTTTTTTGTATACAATGTTGGATATGTGGTATTGCATCCTATCGAATATATATACAACATATACATATCAACTTCAGTACAGAGTACCGAGTCTATGTTCAAGCTAGCTCAGACAATAGCCGTTTGAGGTTTGAGGAGAGTTTTAAGACATTATTTCCATCCCTGCAATATCCCGATCTAATACCCCCTGTTCTCCAATGTCTCAGATCCTCGCTTGATACATGGTGAAACCAGCGAAGCTTTTTAGTATTATCTACGGAACAGTTCGCCGGCATTTCGGTATTCTATCTAAGAATAAACTCTTTTATGGATTATATTATATTATTAGATGTGCTGTGGAGATATGAAATTATATTAACAATACAAAATATATATTTATTCGTCCCAAGGTCGGTGCTTAAATCGTGGTCTAGCTATGGGAATTGGAGAAACCATCCATGGATATTCTATTTTCGTTTACGGGTTAGTGCTTGGGCGAGTAATCCGTCCTGTAACAAGAGAAAATATTATGTATCCCGCGAGAGAACCAAGCGCGTGAAAGGTGGAGATGCATGAGTCTAATGGCAAACAGTTTCCTAAATGGGATCCTAACTTCGGAGAAATCTTGGCATTGATAACGAATATCATACAGATAAGAGTAGATTAGAGCTCTAAAGGTTTATCCGAGAAAGGCAATACATATACAGTACACAGTTCGATGTTGTACAGCACAGACTACGCCTTCACCTCCTCCAAAGCCTGTCTCGCTCTGGCAACGGACTTTCGTGCCCGACTTTCAGACAGATCCTGAACAGTCTTGCCGCCATCCCGCACGATACCGCGAAGAGCAGCTTCAGTTTCCAAGAGCGAGGTGCGTCCCTCCTCACGGACCTCCTCCTCCCAGAAAGTACGGGCGACATCCCACCTCTTTTGCTGGCGACGCATAGAGTATATCAAACCCACGGCGCCAAGGGTACATGACTCGTACACGCCGGCTGATGGAATAGCCACATAGGTTAGAGCGGAGAGAGCAGAAGTTAGAGTCGTGGTAGACACGCTGAAAAGCACCAGACTCTGTGCGAGGGCTTGAAGGGATGGCACTGTGCTGGTAAGGAGCCTAGTGCGAAGGTCAGGGATCTGGGTTGGCCAGGGAGGCATAACAGAGTCCTTCGCGGAGTCAGGGATTGAAGGCGTAGGCTCTTCCAACAGGCCGGCCTGCTGGTACTTGCCCACGGTCCAGATGACCTCCTTCTCCGCCCGACGAAGGAATTTCCTTTCTAAGATTTCAGATGTAATCATGCTCACATCATCAACGCGCCAGAAGAGTTTCCACCATGCAAGACCGCGCCAGCGTGGACTGGCTAGCCCTGCATCGAGGGAGCTGCGGAGCTCGGAGTGAGCACGCTCTGCCCAGGTAGTCACGGCCCGGTCCAAATTAGACCGAATCTCTGCAGGGGCTACACCGGCGGTTTGATCATGGAGTGCCTTGGCGTCTCTGACGGTTACACTAGCGTCGGCTGCGTCAATAAGGGACTCCACTAGAGGGACCAATGCCGGATTCAACGCGTTTCCAGTCGATGTCTCGGAGAAGGTTGAAAGCCAATCGATGAGAGGTTGCACGCCACTGCCATTCCACCCACGTTCGTAGTCGGAAGCGTTGTGGACGGATTCACGGAATTTATCCAGTGCTGTGCTAGCACGGTCGACATCTACCAGGGACAGTCGCTCGTTTGTGGATTTTTGGTCTGCCACTGCAAGTTCAATGGCGCCGCGCACTGAAGAGGCCTCGTTCTTCAGGTCGGATCGACCGATCATTGTGCTGTACGACAGCAGGCCATCCACTCCACGTCCGCATACGATCGTGTGGTGTACGGGATACCGAACAACATTATGCCGACCGGAGTGCGAGGTTTGGATGGTAACTGTGGGGACGAGGAAAGTGTCGGCGTGGAACGTAGCGGTGTGGTTGTCCGGCTCAGAGCCTAGGGTGCTGACTAGGATCTCTAAGTTGCCGTCTCTCAGAATAGGCGATGGCACTGATATTGTCGGTAGCAGGTCATTGGGGATGGATTGTGAGATTTCGCCATATCTATAGAATAAATCCTTCAAATCAGTACTGGTCACAGATGATCAACATCGCAGACAAAAGACCTGTTCATACCGGATCAGCAGCCCTCGGGATGAGTCGGCATCGTACGACTCGAGAATGTCTTCCCAGCCTTCTCGCGGTGCCAATGGGTCGGCAAATAGTAGTCGAACAAGTTTGCGCGCAGAGGTCGCATCGTTCAATCCAAGAACTAGGGTCCAAATCAAGAAGAAATCAGTGCCATGCTTTCTTGGAAGGGGAGGATCCAGTGCCGAAGAGAGCAATAGCCCGACTGTATAACCACAAACTCACCAGCTACTCTAATAAGAGGCGTTTCGGACTCCAATCCCCGCAGTGCAAATTGCAGCCGACTGAGATTCACCTGTTCCAGGGCGGCATCTTTCACTTCCTCGAGGGCGGCATGCAGCTCCTTGAACCGCGGCGGCACGCTCTTTGCAGTGATAATGGAGGACGTGGTGAATGTTCGGGAAGCCGATGCTGTGATAATGTTTTGAGCTCTAGTGACCTGTCGAGAGGTGTCGGGCTTCTCGATGCTGCGATTAATGTTGGCGCGCGTGGACAAGGTTCGTCGCCAGATTGCGCACGAGGGACAGTAAAAGACGGCGCTACTATCCAGTGGACGCGACAGGCTCTTTGTGAGCGCGCTGCGCAATCTTGGAGCCATTGAGGCGCGGTAAAGCGAGGGTTGTAGGGTGTAGTTATCGCAATGGCATTTGGTGGATGAACTTGGTTGAGCGGAAGTGGACGCGGGAACGGGGCTTGGCATCCATCACTGGCTTTATAGTCTTCATATTCTCTACATCTCAGACGATGATGATACATAACTATCGGATAAATGAGTTGAAATGAGGTTGGTCATTAAGTCAATATTTACAATCAATAAAACATTTTCTTTACTATAATTGCATATTTTGCTATGAAACGTGGGGTAATAAGCACACATGTTAAACTGAACTGTCCTATTTATCGCTAGAATTGTGGATTCACAGGTTAAATCGCCAGGCGAGGGGTAAGGATCAAGCAGATAGATAGGGTATCGTATCGATCGTGTCGGGACAAAAGGCGTGTGCGCTGGAGGACAGGAAGAAGAAATGCATAGATCGTGTCATAATATCAACTCGGCCACATCATAGTTAGATCAGGCATCCTTGGGAGGATCCCTCTGTCGAGAACGGGGGCGACCTGACCCAGCAGACCTAGCAATTGGAATTAGTATGTGAAATGGGCTGGTCGCAAAGTCTGTCAAGTGAACACTTACATGCTGATCCGTCGAGCAACCGTGGCGAGTCCAGCATCGTTGGCAGCCTCATGCTCAGCCCGCTCCAGGGCCACACGACGACTCTCCTCGCTCTTTGCGAGAACTTCTTCGTGGCTAGGAGGCACGTGCTCGTTTTGGATATCAACCTTACGGGCATCTTCGAAGTTGTGAATAGCCTGTTTGATACCTTCCGCACCCAGCATGAGGGTTCCGGCAGGAAGACGACCGCCAGCCGCCGTCTTAAGCTCAGTGACACTCTCGGATTGCTCACGAAGAACCTGGAAGACACGAGAGAGGCGGCCAATGGCAAGAATTTTGTTTTTGATAGCACGTCGTTTGAACTCGCTCGATTCGGGGTCCATCGACGGAGGCGAGATTGGATCTTTATCCTTGCTTTCAGTGGGAGACACAGGTGTGGGGGCCTCGTCCTCCAACTCTTCCTTCGAGCAGGTGTTGAGAATGGCGATAAGCATATCCGTGATTTTCTCACCAACAAACGGCAGGGACCACGTGAAAACATCCATGAAGTTGGGCAGCCAATATGGGTGGGGGGTGCAGTTGAATTGGCGGATGTTCATGACGTTATTCTCATATTTGAGGACAGCCGCCTTGTTGTTGTAAACATCCAGGTAGTTAGGAGCACTGAATATAGTCATAACACTCGGGAAGCCGGTGGTTCGCGTCTTTCTGTACATGCGATATCCGGCATCCTGAGCCTCGTGTGCTCTGATAATGGAGAGCAGATTGTTCTTCTCCAAAAACGCACATGCCGCGGGATAAGAGAAAAAGTAGGAGCAACCACGGACACTGTTATGAATGAAGAAATCGCCTGTCTTTTCTTGACCGAATTCCTCCAGAGGATCGGCCCAAAGGATGTCGCACATAAGTCCGTGGGTTGGGGGTTCGCGGAAGCGATCAATCTATGTTTGTAAGCTTTCTGCTAATATTATAAAATGGGTGTAGGGCATATACATACAGCCTTGATGTCTTCGAGGGTATGCAGCTCGGGGCTGAGACCACCGTGAATGCAAAGGAACTGTTTGTTCATAACTGCCGCCAGCGGCAGCGCACAGAAGGATTCCAGGCATGCCTCGTAGATCCGTTCACTATACTTGTGCTTGCACTCCAACTTGAAGGTGAAGTAGTCCGTCAAGTGGCGACATTCGTGATTACCCCGCAACAACCAAAGTGAATCGGGATACCAGATCTTCAATGCCCAGAGATAGAGCACGCACTACAGAGACAAATGGTCAGGGTAGTTCTTCTATACTTAAGGAGACTTGGATGACCTACCTCAATACTGAAATAACCACGGTCCACATAGTCACCCAAAAACAGATACCTTGTTTCTGAAGGATCACCGCCGACCTCGAACAGCTTCATCAAATCGTAGTACTGGCCGTGAACATCGCCACACACTGTAATGGGCGCATCCATTTCGAGCAAATTAGGCTCAGCCTTCAAAACCTGTGTACCAGCGTGGATAATCCATAGTGCCTGTTCTTCTGAAAGACGACCTTCACGGTAGAGGTGTTGCTTGAGGTACTGAAGATTGGGTTTGGATGGATCCTCAGGCGACCAAAACATATCATCCGGAGGATAGCTGAGAGCGGGCGCTTGCACCTCTAAGATCACGAAATACCGTTAGCGATCAGGTTCCCACATATTGCGAAAGCGACCGAGCCCATTCCGGCATTACCTTTGACCACCCTCTCCATTGTCGACACCTGCGTGTTGTCCTCCATCGTGTGCAATGTGAAATCGATCTCCGGGACCGGCTGCTTGTCGGTCACGGCGCGCGTTATAGCCCGATCCATTTTGGCGGAAGCTGAAATGTAGTTTGAATTTTAAGTTCGGAGTAAGGGGCGAGAGGGGATGGGGGATGGGGGAGAGAATCGCGGAGGTGTGGCGGGGATGAGTTTCAGCGCGGGCGGGATAGAACTCCCACGGCGAAGAAGAGTATAAGGCTGATAGAACCCTGATTAAGTCAAAGTTCTACAAGGGACCGAAGAAAACAGAGCCCAGGGGGTTAAAATAGGTGCTGGGATTGTGTGTTTTGGGCGGGGGGAAATGTGAAGTTGGGAAAAAGAGAAACAAATTGGATAAGCGGCTTCTGGGCCGTCCTAAGATCGGTGGGTCTCACACCAACCTCGATCGTAACTGTATCGGAGATTTTTCTTATTTGGTTTTCCTGTATGAGGGTAAAGTGAATGATATCGTGATGGTGCGAGGAAGAGACAAGAATTAGATCCAGTTCAGCCTCATGTCAACATGATGGTTTGAGTGCCTAAGGCAACAAGGGTCCCTTTTTCTACCCCACGCTATCAAATTCATTCGATTTCTAATTTCGATTACTTCTACATTTTCATCTAAACAATGTGTGTATTTACCCTTAATATCAATATATGGTTCAGTTTTGGCTCCATCTTCGACTTTTCATCTGAAGCTGCGTTTGGCGTTTATTGCGTTTAGTCCCGATTGTCCCGATTTGCCTAGACCGCTAGACTTGAGGTATGCAGGATTGATGATTTGCATAGGAGAATTATTCATACCTGCAGCTATAGATCTTGAATATGCTTCATTTGATGTGGAATCTTATGAAATGTATATTTTCACATGATATGATGAATATACAGAGATTAGTACCCACCAAATATCACGACAATTGTAGCTCAGACCTGCTGAAATGCTATAAATTCCTCAACAATGCTCTCCCAGTTGACATGCTTTATTTTCTACCTAGGTACAATCTACCCTGTCCGATTGACATCAAGCGGCCCGAAGGAGACCAACTCCAGGCTTTATTTTCTCTAGAGTCCAACAGCACCCATCAAAACAGAGGTACTCTCGGAGCATATGCTGACACCATTACCATCAAAAATGATTGGAAGTTGTCTTGAGATACTTAGGGGCTCGTAATAAAGATAGGTAGTTACATATCATCTCCAGAAGTTGGTTTCGTTGGGCGAAACGGACTTGTTCAGGTGTTTTATTACTTCCAATCAATCAGGTTTATATATAGATTCGCCGTAACCCTACAGCAATTTTCGTAGGAATTCTTAGGTCTTTTATGATGGCGGTCAAATAAACAAAGTACTAAATATAGGCTCAACTTTAAGAGTCTAAAACTGGCGAGGCATTGATCAGTTGGTTATGACTACTCGCGGCACCAAAATGTATACTTCTCCATCCGGGAAAACTCATTTCAGCAGTATCGTACAAGCCCATCGCAAACTATTATTTAAAAAAGAAAAAATAAGCGACCCGAAACACAAAAAAAGGGGGAAAGGTTGTTATTACCTTGCTATCTGATAGTGATACAAGACGGCTTTTTATGCCACCCGAAGGAGATACAAGATTATTGGAGTTCAGGCGATGAAAGTCTTCCTGAGAACGATAACACCATGTTTGATGTGAGAGAAGCAGAGAGGTCGGAGGATACCCGGGATTACCAGGCAGTTATCAAGCTGCTTCTCAACCATGGGGCCAATCCGAACAACGCGACAACTAGCTCACCATCGTGGATATCGCCTTTGATGTTAGCTACTAGATGCGGCAATCTTGAGACTACCAAGATTTTATTAGAACATGGGGCGTCTCCTTCACTGCACTATGCTGCCTACACAAATGGATATGGATCTGCGCTGGATGAGTGGCAAAGTTCATTGAAGATGGCTTGTTACTTTGAATCTCCAGAACGCGAGTCTATGATCGACTTACCGTTGCAGTATGGCGCTGAAGTAAACCTTGAAAATGCGATGAGTGAGACTCTACTATTTGCATTTATCGACGGTAAATTTGATGATTCGATTGATTTGATTCGCGAACTTCGCAAACGTGGTGCTGTAGTCAACTACCTGAATATCAACTACAATACACCTTTACATCTCTGTCAATGAAGTGAGGCTATGGTCAGAGTATTTATTGAAAATGGTGGCCAAGTGGAGGTCCCGAACATCATCAGACACACGCCTCTATTTTGTCACAAGCACTAGTTTCCTCACTAGTTTTAACTAATAGCATAGCCGCCTCTCATAATTAACCTGTTTATACTATAGCGGATTTGATTGCCACCTAGGCTATAACCGTAAGGCTACATTGAGCAACGATACCCACGAGTTATTTAAGCTTGATCGACTGATTTAAGAGATATTTCTTAATAAGAAAAGTAACTAGACCCCCACGATATCAGCGTGGCTTATATCCCCGGCTGCTTGAGCCTATTTTTTGGTGCCGCCAAGGTATATATATTCTTCAAACTCTGTAAAAAGACAATCAACTACCTAAAGAAGCATTCAATCTGTATATAGACTACCGTTGTTGAGATATGGAGTTGTAATTTATCGCATTTACTATGTGTTTTGTAGTGGATCACTCGGTGGTATGGGCCGCTCAGGACGGATCACGGAGTACATAGTTATGAAATACGTTTGTTAGTACTTGCAAAGTGAGAGTGGATCTAAATTATTGCATGGGAATATAACCTTGGAAGCCAGTGACTCAAATTAATGGATATGTCAACTGGTGAATCACATAGTTCCCTTGGGACCGAGTCCTGGCGTTCCACGCTAACCCTGTTTGATGTGAACACGGCGTTCGAATGATAACATCCATGGAACAGCACTATGATTGTCTCTACTATGGAGTAAATTCCACAGACTCTGTACTTTGTTAAGGCTATTGTTCGCGTCAAAAGTGGAGTTCTTTCTAATCAAACCCCCTTTGGGGATTACGATTCCATCCACTCCGCCAGCTTTAGCTGCTGCCGCTAACAGCGTCGGGATGCTATAATATTACTTCCAAAGTTTGCACCGGCACATTTCCAATTTTCCCTCCACGTCTCTTTCGCCATGTATGCATCCCCCTTTTACTCCGCATCCACACAGTATCCTGCGGAATCCATTCCATCCCCAACCCTGAGTAGCTTTTCTCGTCCCATTACCTCTTGTCTGCCGTGTCGTAATCGCAAGGTCAAATGTGACCGCCGACAACCGCTATGTTTGGTGTGTGAGCGAGGTGATTATGCCTGTTCTTATGTCTCAAACCCTCAGTCCAAGCCTCAGGCGGCGGGACTGGTCTCGGAAAAGAGCCGCATCACCAAACCCAAAAGTGCCCCCAAGATCTCTTCATCCACGCTAGCCCGAATCAATCCTGGTCTTCAGCGTCTTGGCGATTTTATGGCACAAGCGAAAGCATATGAGGCATCGGAGCATACTCGTTCGTCGCTGGACTCGTCCACGCCCACACGATCGACTCCCGCCCCCTATAATGCGCCGCGATCGCAAGAAGATGCACTGATTCTCGATAATGGAGTGCCCCACTTTGTCTCCGGCAAACACTGGGCCTGGATGGCAACAGAGGTGCGCTTCCCATTGTCCTTGAAGCTTGCGCTCATGCCAAGGCAGAGAGGTTACTAACCAAGTGTCCTCTGCTCCTCTAGCTCCAAGACATCCAATCCGTTCTCGCGGAGTCTCAGAATTCCTCCCCCGAACCGGGGCTCGAAGATGTCATCTGGGACACCGATTCACCTGTGGCTAGCCGAGATACCTTCTGGCCCGATACACGAGAGGATTGCTATTTACTCCTGAATGTTTTCCTGGCCAATGTCGACCCAATTCACAGAATTGTTCATCGTCCAAGTTTGGCCCGTCGCTTTGACGCATTCGTCAGCACCCACTACCATCTAGAGGACGATCAACCCCCTGTCATAACAGGAAGCAGTATGATTTCTAACCTGAAGAATATGATCTCATTCGAGCCGCTAGCCATGTCCATCTTCTACGCATCCGTCAACAGCATGAAAGATACTGACGTGTCCGCCATGTTTGGCACGGACAAGTCCTACCTCCTGAATCGATACCGAGTAGGAACGGAGGTGCATCTGAAACGGCATAAATTTATGACCTCGAGAGTCTTTGAGGTTTTGCAAGCATTTGTGATTCTACTGGTAAGTTTTAAAGAGAAAGAAAAGACAGTTTGCACATAGTATCGAACTAAACGATGTTTCTGTACCAAAGACCGCGCAATATCGGGAAGATGATATGGGAAAGGTAGGGCCGTTGACTGGGTTGGCTATCCGAGTGGCGACGGTCCACGGACTCCACCGGGACCCTTTAGCTCTACCGCTGGGGACGATGGACGCCGTACAGGTGGAGCTGCGTCGTCGCTTGTGGGCGCAAATCTGTTACTTGGATTTCCGCACGACGGAGGATCATGGGTTTGCGCCTTCGATTCATGAGTCGGACTTCGATACGCGTCGGCCCCTCAGTGTAGATGATGTAGATCTGATCGAAGGGGCGGTACCCTCACCCGGACTCTCAGATGCTCCTAAATTCACCGATATGACCATCTATCTCCTGCGGATCACCACGGTCCAGTATTACGGACGCATTTTTCAGATGACACATGCTCCACGAAAAAGATTGCGTGCCAGCATCGGTCCTGTGGGCGAGCCTGAAGCATTAACGGAGCTGCGGGACCTGTTAAACAATGCTGAGACCCTCGCTGAAGAGTTTGAGAAGAACTTGGACGATCTTGTTCGATACTGCGATAAGAGGGTTACTATGCAATCAATGGCCTTGGATTTGAGAAACCACTTGAAATCCAAATTCTGGGTCATGTTCTGGATTCGAATCTCTCGTCAAGATCGCGAAAAAGTCATCAGTCCCGCCATGAGAAGAAGGTTAGCCATCCGTGTCCCACCCCCTGCCCCAAAACCTCTCGCCCGAAAGGGAGAGTAATTATGTTTTGCTGACAGCATCAAACGTCAAGGATATTCGTGGATGCCGCCACGGCCATAGAGAACTGGTGTACCATCGCCTCCGGCAGGGCCCGTGAACCCTTCCAATGGCATATATATGCCCATGCCGGCTTCTCCCTGATTCTCTACGTACTCTCCGAACTCCGCAGCCCCGGCTTCCAATCCCCGGAGTGGGCCGATCTCCGCCAGCGAGGCCTCCACTTAGCGAACGCCATCTACGAGATTCGGGGTCAGCATACCACGGGTGCATGGCCCGCAATCATTTGGTTGGTGAATCGGATTCGAGGGCAGCAGGGACTCAGTTCTGGTATCACTGACAACCAACCTACTGGGGCCGGTTCATCTGAGAATAATCACCCTATGTCGATGAATACTTTTGCTGCTGCTCGTCCGGGCTCAGCGGGGATGGGCATTGACACGCCGGATTTCATGGGCATGGTGAATCTAGAGGACTTTGATTTTGCCGACTTTGCTAGTTTGGATCCGACGTGGTTTCATGGATTGCCACAGTGATTAATGACTGGGCTTACGGAGAAAGTGGGTATCTTTATTGGTCGATATATATACCTTCGCATACATACCTAGGTATACCGGAGCCTCTTTGTGAAATATGAGCAGGAAAGGGAGACCTACCTACCACCTACCATTGTGTCACTCGCTCGTTAGCATGGCAATGGGGAACTATTCAACTGAAGTGTTCTTCTGTAGTGGATGGCTTGATGTATATGGCCGGCACAATTATCAGAATGTCTATCATAGTTCTTCACATATATCAAGAGTGGGAAAATAAATTGATTTCAATAGAAAGAATTGCAACCTAAAAGTCACAAGAGTTTGGCAAAGTATAACCCGTCATTCAAGCAATGATAGAGATCCTATCCCTTTATCTTTTATAGGAGACGTAGGTGTTGTAGTAGAAACCGTACAGTGGGGAGATGAAGGGAGAAGAATTGTTAATTGCAAGAACTAATAATTAAGGGATTAAATACCCTATCCACTAAACTTCATCCAAAGACTGCTCAGACTGTCAAACATACATGCCCGCATGTTCAACAGTAGGGAACCCCCCCTAATCACTCGCCCAGCGTAGCCTTCATCTGCCGACTCCATTCATCTCGCTTGATCCGCAGAAGGATCAACGGAACACCACTGAGTAGACAGAATAAACAAACTGCCGTGAACGACCAACCGGTGCCGATGGCATCGAATAACGGCTGCGCAATAACCGCACTGACACACGACAGACTGTTTCGCACGAGGTTATTCACTGCGACGCCGATGGTTGAGTTCTTGGGTGTAAACTCGGTCAGCATCGTGATAGTGACGTTAGTGAGAACCATGCCGCCAAAGCCATAGAAGAAGTTTCCTAGGAGCTATTATACAACAGATTAGTCCTCGCTTGAAGCCAGAAGGTAGAAAGGAGCGCTGAAATGAATGAACTTACCGGGATCGGCCAAAATTCATGTTTATCGGCCGTCCATCCCCACCACAAGAGTGCCCCAGGGAAGAGAATGCCCGCAAGGAGGCAGTTCTCACCTAGACGGTCGACCGGGTGGAGGATCAACTCCCCCTTATCATCATATCGGCCCTCCTTTCGAGCTGTCCGCGCCATGATGTAATCTTGCCAGCGGCCGCCAATGATGGCACCGAAGAGTAGGCCCAGGCCGCCGGGGATATAGGCCACGCCTACAATTATGGAGCTCCAGGAGTATGGTGGCAGGGCAAAGGTGTCTTCGATGGAAACGCAGATGAGGTAGTACGTAGAGAAGACGATGCTCGTGTAATAGACTGTAATAAGGATTGGGGGGTATTGGAGGAGCTTGGCAGCTTCCATGGGCTTCAGGAGGAAGTAGAGGGCTTTCTGGCCAGGGCTGGTGGCGTCGTTTTGGTGTTCACGACGGTTCTTTTCGAGGTTGGTGGCCGTCTCCGGCATGAATAAAACCATCACCACAAACACGGCCCAGCCATAGATGACCATGAACCACTGCGTGCTGCGCCAACTCCAGTGCATTGTGAGTGCCCCGCCGATGATGGGGGCAAACATGGGCCCTAGCATGGGACCGAGCATGAACGCACCCATAGCCTTGCCGCGGTCTCGCTTGTCGAACATGTCTGAAATGGTACCGGCACTGACGGCTTGAAGGGATGCACTGGATGCACTTCCAAGGAGTCGCATGGCGACAAATATACCGATATTGGGGCTGATAGCAGCCAGAATGTTGAAAATTCCAAGGAAAAAGAAGGATGATATATAAACCAGTCGACGGCCATAGAGCTCGGCTAGGTATGACCACCACAAGGGCGTGATGGCGACAGAAAGTGAGCCAAAAGCGATAGACAAGTTCACCACCGACACAGTGGTATGCATATCCTCAGCGATTTCTATCAGGCAGGCTATTTGGAATCCATCGTATTAGCTTCTTGTTCTGGATTGGTAAGAGGACACCTTACGGAACAAAACACCACTACTCAGCGGGACCACCAATCCTCCCATCGCAACAATGAAAGTCAAAGCCCACTTCATCCCCGGTGTATAATGCTCGGGATCATGCAGGGCCGGAACAAGACATACCCATGGGAGAAATCCTCTGCGAACATGTTCGGAGCCACGAGGATCAATTTCTTGCTTGGATCCGAGTTCTGCCTTGGTATCATCTTTGGTGAGTTCCTTGGGCGAGGCTGTTCGCTCGCACTCTGGGTTTTCCTCTGTGATTCTTGGGGATCGCATCGTGTTCAATGCTGCTAGAGACTCGGGGGTACTGTTTTGATTGTTAAGGGACATATTGGTTATCGATGGTGAATGCTCCTACCTAGTGTCTCTTTTAAGAAGTATGTATGTATGGATCCACCTCGGCCGAGGGTGTGGGGCCTCCCGCTTCGTACGAGACCCACTATTCACTTGAGCAAACCATGGAATAAGCTGTAACCTTACTTACCTAACCACGGTCGGAGGTCTCCAAGATAAAACTTCGAAAAGACAAAAGAAAACAGGCCCTAGTAAGTGATACAAAAGGTGTAAAATTTCTAGATATTATATCTGGTGAAAATGGTTCAAAGTCCTCCGCGGAGAATAATTTGGTTGGGCGTTCTGGGTTCGAGGGTCAGTCCGCCATCCGCCTGGGGTTAGTTGTACACAACAACAATTCTATGTCCCAAGTCTCAGCCGCATCCAAGTAAACCTGCGTCCTCTGTTTTCTCTCCTGCTTAATTGTCGTGCTTGATTGTGGTGCATAACAGTTCCCCCAAACCAGTGTCCCCACCAGCGCTCGTCAAGGGTTTTCTGGACGAATACTTAGATCAAATGAGCGTATGGGAAAGTTGTGTTGCGTTACTGATACGGTACTGTACGCCAACTGAGACATGTTAGCCTGAATTGCAATACTGTATGGAGTAGCTGGAACTGGTAGGTAGTGAAATCTACGAGCCTAAATTCACATCACCGGGTATAGAGGCCATTTCCCAGAAGAGATGACCATCTAGCAAATTAGACAGACTTTGCATATGCAAATTCTGGCTAAAGTCACTAGGAGTCAAGGGGGCATCGTTTTGCGCCATATTATAGGTGTGCATGCTGATCCCCCCAGCCAATTCAGATGGTTGTGACGATGCATCATTAAATTCCAATTCAGCCGCGCCCCTAGATGCGTTCGCCTTGTCGAAGGCTGGTTCCATTTGAAGTTCTTGTTGGTCCGTTGGGTTCAAAAGCTCTACCAGCGATTCCAGGTACGCAGAATGCAGGGCGACTGTATCCTGTGGTGATTGTATAGACTGCCCCATGTGCCGGGAAATAGCACGAATAAGATCGATTGCTGTCTTCTGGAAAGCTTCCCCAATGACGCCATTCCCTGGGAGACAAAGAAGCAGGCATAAGAACAATGCTGCGTTTGGGGCGAGTAAAAGAACGGCATCAGGAGCTAGTCTCAGGTCGCCCAGCGGAAAGTTCATCAAATGGCGCAAGGTCCCAAAAGCGCCTTCCACGCTACTCGTCAACCCTGGCAGATTCTGTAACGATACTTCTTGGGTATTTGACAGGTCAAGTTCCATTGTGGAGCTAGCTGGCGGGTTATTGAGATCCACAGATGGGGATAGAGAAGCCATCAAAGCTTGGCGGAATATGGAAGAAGCCACATTGAGTCTGACACCATTCTCCCATACGTTGATCAGAGTAGTGAGATGATGGCCACCAGGAAATAAAAATTCACGCTTGAGGTTTGGATTATCCTCTGGGCGCTGACATCCTTCGCCTTCCAGTTGATTGCACCATTTGAATCTCCAAGATCTCAAGTCTGCATCCATGAGCTCCACCAGACACGGGAGCATGTCTAGCGATTTCCTTTGAACCAAGTGACGCAATCTATATTGTATACAGCGTAGATCGGCACTGCAACAAGCAGCAAAATCAAGCGGCAAAGCGTATGGCATTCTGAGCCAGACATTAAGGTCACCAAGAGGAGGTGTTTCTTGATCGCCTTGATTCAGCGAGCCTCTCCGCAGAAAAAAGAGGCTCTGCTGCCTGTTTTGTCGAAACAACGCAAGCCACGTTCTTTTTTGCCTTGCCATTCGACGCCCGTCAATGTCACAATCTTCCAAGTCCAGATCATGAAGGATACGAAAGGCGTAACCGCTGTGGAGGTACGAGACGTCATCATCTGCATCCTTCCAGCAGACTAGCAGGTAAAAAGCTTGCAAGGTCTCGATGGATCTGCTGCCCTCAGCAATGGCTTTAATCGCCAAATTCCGTGCTAAGCTACAAAGTCGGCTTTGTAGAAATAGATCAGGGGTGGAGACTATCTTCCCGTCGATAAAGTTTGCAAATTTGGACGAGCAAAAGAGAATTGAAGAAAACAGGAAGGAATTCCGCATTTGAACGCTATCGTGAGTATCAATGTGAGGGTCGAGAAGATACTCCCATTTTGCATTCATCTGTATCATAAAAAATTCAAACAAAGCCTGAGATACCTGAGGGCTGATAATTCCTCCCTTTATCGGATCTACAACAGTGTGACCCAGGGTCATAGAAGAGATATAGCTGGGCATTTTGACAGAGCCAACCGGTCGCCAGTCATCTTCATCACCCGCGGTGGGCACACTTATCTTCAAGGGTTTGAGAATTCCAGAAAGCTTTAAGGATAGGAGTGGCTTCCGTTCTGGCTCACACATGTCTTGATGTGGGCGGTTGGTTGGAGTACAGGTGTCTGAATTCCCACTAGCATTAAATGAGGGGCTATCTCCCGAGGTGACGAAAGTGAACGGTGACCCTCTCTTTCCTTTGATACTAGCCAGTGCGGCAATGATTCTTGCTCGTGTGGCGTTAGTGATTACCGGTTGTGGGTGTTGCGACGGCACCTGCTGGATGCTGTCTGCAGAGGTGACACCCTGGCTAGGGGCATCAGGAAGTCGATTTGTAGGAAGAATTGTATCGCTATGGACATGTTGCTGCGGGACTCTTTGGGTTCGAGCAGAGGTGTTTCCATCCAAGGAAGATTGATTGCGGTTCTCTGTAGTTTCTGGTCCACGTCTTCCACGTTGGGGATATGGCTGAACCCTCACTCGGGTTCTTTTCGACTGCGCAAAAAGGCATTCGGTGTCATTTGCTCTGCATCTATCACAAATATGCGACTGTTGAGAAAGTAGACAGCGAACTTTGGCTTCCCGACACTGAAGACAAGCACTGCAGGGATCGCGTTAGCGCTGCGCCGAGTTGACGGCTCAACCAATTAACAAAAGGGGTGTGCACTTACATAGGTGCACGGCGCAGATTGGTGGGCGTAGAAGTTGATGGCGCCATTATTTGTTTTCATAAAGGTGAGTTGTTCACGAAGTTGTCACGAGTAAAAGATAAGCGAGACGCTGCAGATATGCCATGGCCGAAGCACGGAGGCGCATTCCGGCTTCCCCGCGTGTCGGTAGTTCTGACCGATGTCACCGCCTTCGTGTAGCTTATCTCAAAGGGTGACAGGATAGAGAGTCTTACTGCTTCCAAGGTTCCAAGGTTAATTATTGGAAGATAGTGATTTTTCTACAAACTCTATTCTTGGGGGTTGGTCACATTCCCTCCAGATTTTCTAAGTGCCGGATGGAGGTTCCGTCTTTGGACTAGTTGTGGGTGCACCCCCGCCGGTTGATAAGGCACTCTACCCCCCCGAGGTCGGCTTATGCGTGAACGAACAGTAGTACAGGAGTCTTATCATTGCTCTTTGGTCATGACTCAATGATTATTTATGGCATATATGACTTTATCGCGGCACATTGAGAGCTATTGGCAATGATTGGATGTTTTTCGAGGCCACATATAAGAGGGACATTGACAGCCTTGGACGGTCCCAAGTTCTTGGCGCCGAAACGCGGATAAAACCCGAGGGTGCGGGGGGTGCCAATGCACACTTTGGACTGTTTTACATCAACACTGAGAAATTAGCAATAATATGGGTTCATCACGAAAGGCAGACAGGAGAGTGGTGAACGCGTAAGTACCGAATCGGGGGGAGGTTCTCTTCATTCCAATCCCCATCACTGAGACATGTATTTGAATAGCTGCTCCCGATGCCGCCAGCACAAGATCAAATGCACTGGGGAAAGCCCATGCAGTAATTGTATTCAACGTAACGCAACATGTCACTTTGAAAAAGAAACCACAAAAGTTCAAATCACCAGGAAGCGACTGGCAGAATTGCACCACAGAAACCGTGAGCTGGAGAGGGAGAATCTTGCTTTGCAGCAACGTCTGTCACGCACGATCGAAACAATCGCAACGCCGCAGTATCCAGGAGAAGATTCGCCGATGAATTCAACGACTCCCGCTGCTGCAGACCCTGAATCGATATTGACCCACGATGAACATGAGAATGTCAACATGGTAAACCCTTTATCCTCCGGGCCTCCTGAATATATAACAGATCCAACCGGAAGGCTCTGTGAGCTCGTTCGTTCTTCATGGTACCTACAATGTACTAACTCGATCCCCTAGATTATCTTGGACATACTTCGACTTGGTCCCTGACTATACGGCTCTTAAATCTGACACACGAGGCTCTTTACAAATGCCCTTTCCCCAGTACTGCTCACCACATTGACTCTGTGATCTATGACTTAAAATGGAACGGCATGCGCAGTCAAGCGGTTCCCGATATCCGGGGCCTTCCTGCGATCGATCATGCGCTATTTCTTATTAACGCAACTAAGTTCCATACTGGAGAAATATTCCATTTATTCGATGAAACCAAATTCATGGATCAACTATATCGCTTCTATGAGAACCCGGTGGAGAACGTGCATACGGCGGGATTGTGGCTTCCGCACTTCCTAGTCATCATTGCTCTTGGCAAGGCATTTGTGGGAGCGCAAACCCGCGGGAATGTGCCACCCGGCTGTGAGTATTTCAGGGCTGCTCTTATGATGCTCCCAGACTATAGCCTTTTGTGGAAGGAGCCTTCCACCTCCGCAGAGATTCTCTGTGCATTCGCTTTGTACTTGCAGTCTATAGATTGGAGAACCTCCGCACACAACATGGTAAGTATTTGTTAAGCCTTTGTCTTGCATGATCGCTTTAAGCAATTGCTTACCTTGCTTGGCCTGGTCCGGAATATTCAGATTGGACAAGCGCTGCGAATATTACAGGTTCATGGTTACCACACCGATCTTTCCACCCGATTCCCTAATGAACAAGAATTGGTGCGATGTCAGCACATCTGGTGGACTGTATATATCCTCGAGCGCCAGATCTCCGTGCTTATGGGTACGCCTCTTAGCATTAGCGACAATGACATCAATACCCCATTACCTTTGTTTGCGGATTCACCTCTGAAAACAACAACCCTCCTCATTCATGTCAAGTTGTCGAAGGCCTTTAGCCGCATTGTGAATGGTACGTCAGATGGCTGCTCCGTTGAAGATAAGATAAGCTCTAATTCCAAAGCAGCTCTCTATAGGGATGCTGGGGAGATGGAATCCACATTTGTGAAAAGCACACAGGAAGTCTTACAAAGAGTTGCGGACGTGGCCTGTGAGCTTCGGGAAAACTTCCCGGTACCTGACCAAGGAGCTCTGAGCGGCATCTCTCGAGTATCCGGATACTTGAATTTGTTATACCACCAGGTCAGTTTTCATTCAGTACCAAAGCTGCTAACTAGTAACACTATTTCAGTGTATCATGCTCGCTACTCGGCCGTTTTTGTTCATTCTGGTTGAAATGCGTGCCAAAGGGACAGACCCTCAGACCGAAGTTCCCACGCCTATTCAATTACTTCTACAAATATGTCTCGAATCAGCAAAGAAAACCTCACAAATCTTGGGGTTTTTGCAAGACCAAAATCTGTTAGGTATGAATTAGAGTCTCTTATTTATGTGCGAATATAAGCCGGTTTTCTAATCTGTTATAGAGTGCTTTTTGCCGTTCGATCTGGAAAGCGCCGTCTCCGCCGGCCTTGTTGTCACTATGGCTTCACTAGTCGACCTTCCATTGATTGCAAACCGAACGTCATATCTTGACATTTTGCTCTCTGTTTTAGATCAGATGATTGATCATGGAAACTTGATAGCCCTTGATAAAAAGAGGAAAATCCTTCAGCTCGAAAGTCTTTGTGTAAACCTGAAAGATTCCCCATTGTCATCTCTGATCAATGCCTCAGATCTTTTGCAGCTCGAACAACGAAATTCGCAAGACGACAATTTGGAACCGAGGATATCGAGTGATGGACGTAATTCCTATTTAAGACAAAGCATCCATGCTGAGGGCCCGAGAGAAGATTGTGAAGAAGAAGAACAAGAAGACCTAGCTACCGATCCATACCGGTGGGCTAACGACATTTCACCCTCTCGGTTGCTAGAAGCTGCCAACATGCTGGAAGGTGGGAGCTTACTGGATTGGGTCGACCTGCCCAGTAGTAGCTTCTTATTCGGGTTTGTTGGAGGGGAGTGAATTTTTGTTTTGATGTTTCAATATGTATACTACCCCATATCAATGTAACTGATGCGGCATAGGTAGTTCTTAGCTACAATAACACAATTTTGTACAGTATTGGAGTAAAGAAGGTGCTTATAATTCCTAGATTCACATATACAAGCCATTCTTGCACCTTACTAGAGACAAATTAAGACCGGCAAAGCAAACCCATGATCATATTCCCCGTCGAAGATAAAATTCTCAGATGTCGTAAGAACCCTTAATACCTACATCATCTACAAATTCCATGCGGTCCAGGTAGCCGATGAGTGCTGCGCTATCGACCTGGTGTTGTTGCTCCCCGAAACCCACCCATTCCCAAACCAACCAAAATCATTCCCATCATATGAACGTAAGTCGTAATCCTCCCATCTGACTTTCTTCAGAGCTTCCAGAGCGTGTAGGCTGCTACCAGGCCATAATGCAGTGACTCGGCCTTTCTTTCGTTCTTCGAGGGTTGATCCCGGTGGCGAGGATTTGTACCAACTTGCGCATTCGGCACTGTAAACAGTCCGCTCGAAGTACTTGTCACAGAATCTTGTGAAATTTTGAACTTGAGATTCTTTCGGCTCGACGAGTCCTATGTTATCATAGGCCATCCTCGAGATGATCTCTGCAACATAGGTGTGAACTTGCTCCATCGTGATGAGTAGACTTCCTGCACCTTGGAACGAATTCGGTCCCAGAGATTGGAAGAAATTCGGGAATCCACTGGTCGAAAGTCCGAGATAGGTTTCTGGTCGGTGCTTGTATTTATCGCGTAGATTGACTCCGTGTCGACCGATTATGGGGAATCCACCTCCAGGGTTTGTCTCAAAGCCCGTAGCACAGACAATGGCATCCACCGCTCGATGCGTGCCACAAGAAGTCACAATGCCAGTCTCTTCAATTGAATCAATACCTGTTGTGATGACGTTCACCTTGGGTGAAGTCAGAGCCTCCAGGTAACCTGGCCCCGGGGTGAGACGCTTGCAAAGTGGGGGAAAATCGGGAATCAAATGTTCCTGCAGTTCCGGCTTGTCCTTCAACCTGCGCTCCATGTCCGCTTGATATTGAGCTCGAGAAGAGGCCTGGAGAGCGCTACTTGTTTGCGTCTTGGAATACAGCGTCTGCAGCTCCAATTCCAGCCCTTTACGGTATTCAATGTAAGAGGCAGGATTGCTTTGCCAGGCCTGCTTCTCCTCGTCGGTATAAGCAAAATTGCCTCCCTTGCCGCTCGTGCGTGATGATAAGATCTCCCCGCCGTGCTGGTTAGAGATCCAGGTCTTGCTGCGGACATAATGGTCCATACTTTTGACCCTGTCCAGGAGAGCGGGCACAATCTGAATACCACTGCTGCCAGCCCCAATAACAGCTATGTTTTTGTCCTATACATTATTGATCAGGCACTGAGTCCGCAAGAGGGTTCTATGACATAACCTTACCTTCATATCATAACTGGTATCCCAACAAGCACTGTGGAGTAACTTGCCTTTAAAACTCTGGAGGCCAGGAATAGATGGCCACTTCCATTCATTCAACAGTCCAGTTCCCGTCATGAAAATATCGGCGGAATCTTCAAACACTGATCCGGTTTTCTCGTCGAAGATCTGCACAAACCATTTCCCCGTTGTGTCATTCCAGCGTGCTCCAACACAACGATTCTGGAACTTGATGTGCTTTCGAACATCGTACTTCTGGGATACTCGGTTCCAGTACTCTCGAATTTCATCTGCGCCGGAGAAGAATTGGCTCCAGCCTGTCCAGGACTCAAAGCTCAACTGGTACACGTGTGATGGAACATCTATATTGTCTCAGCATGATTCTTCTGACTGCGAAAGAAATGAATACTTACCGCATGCACAGCCCGGATACTGATTTTCATACCAAGTCCCTCCTAGCTCAGGATTCTTCTCATAAATTGTCAGGTCCAATCCAGGCACGGCTTCGCGGAATTTAATAGCAGCTAGAATTCCCGATATGCCGGCACCGATGTAGATAACCTTAAGAGGGCGTGGCTGGTTCACAGCTCGTTCCGAGATGAGCGGAGTGAAAGTCTGCGGCTTTTCTTTAGAGATGTCGCGTTTTGGGTTGACCCTTGTCTCCCTATCTTCCAATTTCATGCTTTCGTCACTTGAGGAACAGATGTCCTCAATAGTGACGGTTGTATGGTGCTTTTCGTTGACATCCTGCGGGATTGGTGGGATTGCAGAAACGGGGATGTTGCTCAAAAAAGTCATGATGAATATAACAAGTGATTTCTTGTCTTTCCTATATTTCCTATAATCTACCTATGCTCCCAAGGGAAATTTATATCAAAATCCAAACAAGTATGCGAAGATATCAGTACTCTCTCCGGATGGGTATCCGATTAGGTGTGAATGGTTTGACATTATACGTTAAGTTCGATTTACGCATCCCTCGCCGCAAAACCCCTCTTCATCGTCTATTCCGATCGATCCGAGATACTGACCCGGATCATCTGCTTCATTTTAGTCAATTATTGTTCTCCGAAAGTTCAACGGAGGGGCACCCCGACTCTGTGACGTGGACTGATACTTCCTTCAGGTCCCCCCACATTTGGAGAGATAAGGCCAGTTACTTCACGGGTCCATGTGGTCTTAGTGCATTAGTGCATTAGCGGGGTTAGATAGTTACATATCAGAATATTGTAAAGGAAGTGGAGAATCCTAACTTCTAATGTTGCCCATTGGCTGCCCCATTGTATTGAATGCAAACATAGATATACCTAGTCCGAGACGCGGATCAAGTTTATTCAATAAGAAATAGATGTTTTACCAGGTCGGATACCCTTCCCGTCCGGTGTCTTGTCGTTCTGGCTAGCCCTCGGGTCTCTGGTAAACCTTCGAAGCTACTTAATTGATGATGACCCCGCACCAACGAAGTTTTGAACGTTGTTTCAGAATACAGTTATTTGCCATATCAAGATCCCCGCAGTACCACAAACTACAACGAAGAACTTCATCACTATGGCCGTCGAAGTGAGACAATATCATCTGTTACCCACAAACCTCATCCCCAACTCTCCCCGGCCTCTACTTCATTATAAAAACGTTTTGTCTAAGAATATCGACACCTCACACTGCGACCCAGGCGAGGTTTGGCACATGTTCACTAAGAATGAATGGAAAGTGAACTGGCTCTTTCGCTACAGTGACACGCAACTGTCTCACTATCATTCAAATGCGCATGAATGTATGGCTGTGCTTTCAGGAACGGCGAGCATCCGATTCGGCGTCGCCGACACGTCAGCAGACATGCACGAGAACACATATAACTCCGCTTGGGAGGAAGGAGGTCTCGTGCTGGAAGCCGAAGCTGGAGACGTGTTTATAATACCAGCCGGCGTGGCACACAAGACACATAATACATTTCCCAAGGCCGACTTCGCGCTTTTGTCACCAGGGAAAGGACATGGTATCGAGGCTGATGATCCGAAAAAAGTACTATCCGAGATCAAACTGGATGGGTTTACAATGATGGGAGCCTATAGTGGAGGTGACTGGGACTTCATTGCAACTGGAGGGAATTTTGAAAGGGTGTGGGCGGTTCCGAAGCCAAAGTATGATCCTGTTTTTGGAAGCCAGGAGATGGGGCTCTGTAAAAGGTGGCATGGAAGTAACCAGGAGCCCAGGGCTCGCCTTTAGATATCCATTGAGTGTACCTTTCGATTAATCTTACCAGATTACAAATACTCATTCTTGCACCGGCATTTAACGTAGTATTAATTCTACAACTGAAGTGACAGGCGGTTTAAGGTTGTATAAGTATACTTCAATATAGCTAGTCTATATGGGAAATCCCAAGCTAAGTTATTGGAATCAAAATATTATACGGATATTATACGGATAAATTTGAGTGATTCGATAAAAGGAACTGCACCAAAATATTTGAACTCATGTTTAATTCCGAGAACGGCAGGCGTTTCCTAAACAGAACAGATAGGAATACCCCGCCCATCGTTGGGTATGTCTCAATTACTGAATATATGTAAGGGTGTGACATTGGCTTTACGATGGTGCTTCTAATATCAAGTATGCCAGATACCATGTGCAATTTTTGGGAACAACACTGGGATGATATGATGCTATAACTTTGTAATTCCAGAATTTCACCTGAGAAAGGGAAACGTGTTGCAAGCTATGTTTCGTGCTCCTTCGCCCTATTGATTGCGGCAGAGACAGACGATTCAAGAATTGTTGAAAGTTGGCTCTCATGTAATCGCAATATCGCTTGACCTGTGATGCTTCCTGGAGCAGACAAAGACCACTGCAGTTGTTCAGGACTTGTTCCCGACAGCATTATACTTGCCATTCCTCGAACACACTGAGATGCAATGGCAATGGCATGGTCTTTTGGAATACCTTCTGCGACAGCCCGCTGTGATATGACCTGCACCGCTGTGGTTGTCAATGCGTTGGAAAACGCACTCATACCCGTCGCAGCATCAAAGTAGTCATGAGTGACATGGAATACCCTGCCAACGGAGTTGAAGATCCACTCCGCTAGCTCCACCGCTTCTTTCTCCAGAGGGTTGCTAGTCTTGCCAATAAGGGTTGCTGATTCATGTACCTCCGTTCCCATAGTCGGCATTGCGCGAACAATCCGGAGGTCATCCGCTGTAGAGGGTGCAGCAGTATCTTGTCCATTTATGATTCGAGCTATTTCAGCTCGTGGAGTGCGCGCAAGGATACTGATGATTATTTTTTGCCTCAGTGCTTTTCTCATTTCAGCTTCTGCGAGGACTTCATGGACTTTTTCTGGAGGGAACGCAAAAAGAACAGCATCGGCATTCCTCACTGCTTCAGCGTTGTTTCCGCAAAAAAGGTCTGCGGGATCCAATCTGCCGTTGAACGATTTTTGAAGTCGGGTGTGTGCTTCATTGTCGTTCAACGCAACCATGACTTTAGAAATTGGACTCTGAGACTTAGCCACCGATGGAAGCACGGCTCTAAGAAGGGCACTGCCAATGTGAC